ACTGATTGGACTCTTGGATATTATATATAAATTTTAGAAAAATGAATGAGATTGTAAATTGAGAAAAGAGTTATAGTTGTTTTCGCTAATTTCTATTCCTTAAAATGAGATTGGTAACTCTTGTAAATTAATTAAGAGCTTAAAATTTAAAAAAAAAACTTCCAAATTTTTATCATGGGGCATTATAGTAGGTATTAAAGTAATGGTTATTGGATGATTCAGATTATGATAAGAGCTATAATAATTGATTGAGATGGGTATAAATGGGTAGTTTTAAGATTTATTTTCTATGCATTCATAGCATGCATATGTATGATTGATTTATAACTTAATTGAAAAGAGTACTATATTGAATATAATGGATCCATATGAAGTAGCAAATGAGTGGAGTACAATAGCCCCAAATAATTTTGGCAACATGATGTAGTTCACTAGTTTGATAGATTAGTTGATGAGTGATGCACATAGCAAGCAGACTAAGAGTAATGAGACTAAAGAGGATAAGGACTTATAGATGTTCCATAACTTGTAACCCCCACTCTTTAAGGGACCAGTCAAGCCACAAGTAGCAGAGGACTGTCTATTAAAGATCTAAAAAATCTTTGATATCATTTAGTATCCAAAAAACATAAAAGTATCACTTGCAGTGTTTCTATTTAAAGGAGAAGCTGAGAGTGATTGATAGGATAATAACGAGACAAATTTTAGAGAATGATGAATGCAAAAATTACTTGGGAAGAATTTGTTGTTGTCTTCATAGATTGGTATTTGCCCCCATCAGTACGATGACAAATGTAGAAAGATTTCATAAGGTTAGAACAGGGAAATAAGAAAGTGATGTAAATTGAAGTTGGGTTTACTTCACCAGCTAGGTATGCACCTCAACTGGTTAGTACCGCTGAGGAGAAATGATATATATATTCTTAAGAAGACTGAAGAATGAATTGAGAAACCCACATGTACAATTGAGATTTAGGAGTTTTCAAAGTGAATGGAGAGATCCATAATGGTAGAAAATGATTTGACTATTTCTCAGTTCAAACATAATAAGAGTACAAAGAGAACATGTGAGGAGGTGACTGCATGAGAAAATAATAAGAAAAAAACATGTTTGTTGATATTAGGAGAGGTCCCATGGTATAATTGGCAATATACAAGAGTGATATGGATGTGGTAGGACAGGATAGTGTTATCTGATAACATGATAGTGCTTTAGATGTGGTCAATATGGCCACATGATGATGGATTGCTCACAGAGAGGATTTGGAGATATGGATCTAGGATGGATCAGTTTAGGCAAGCATATGGACAAAGACTTGTAGAATCTAAAATGTATAGTGGAAGTTCTATATGCATGACTAATGCAAAAAATGTGAGTAAGAGTTAGAGGCAGCCCACACTGTCAATGATGACAACACCCTAAGTACAACCTAGAGTATATAGCTTGAGTCAGCATGAAATGAGAGATTCACCAGAAAGGTCCATTGATATAGTTTTATGTTATGAATGTTATTTCTTATGATTAAAATGTGTTGCATAACATATTATATGATTGATTGATTGATATGCATGAATGTGTAAATAAATGAGTATATGTTTTGATTGATAATTGATGTGATCAATGATTAATGATTGTATTATGTATGTTAGCAGTCCATAGTGAGAAATGTAAGTGATGATAATTAGTAGTCATTGTTTGACACTAACTATCGATATTTTCTAGCCATCAATTAACATAAATACATATTGTTCGTTGCCAATCATCAATCAACATTGGTGTCTGTTGTTACCCATTGCCTATCACTAGCTATCAATTGACATTGACAATTATTGATATATACATATCATCTCCTTCTATCTATCTCCATTCGGCACCAAATCCCTTCCACATTTGATGGCACATACTATCTGACTTTTAAGTTCTCCATCAATCATCGCTTAATTCCCACCAACAATTGATATTTTATATTCATTAGTCACCAACCTCTAATGTCATTTTAATCACACTAACTCTTCTCTTATTTAGAGAATAACCAAACTTATTACCCAATTACATAATAAATTTTTAGCTCCCCATGAAGTACCACTCGATTCTAGCCAGTGATTAATATTTTGTGTTTGTCCGACATCCATCTAGATCATCCAATTTTTCCTCTTCTTAAAAGAATGACCTATCCAACCACCCATAACATTTGATTTCAAACTTACTTCTTTCCACATAAGGTTTATGAAAGATAAGCTAATCTTTTATGTATTTTTTTTTCATCTTTAAATATCATTGTTTTTAAAAAATTTTAATTATAATTGACCCAAAAAATAGAGGATGTAAGATGAGTTGCATGCCTATGATATTTGCATATGAGAATATCAAGTAAAATGATGTTACTTAATTGAAGAAAAATCACCTAATAAATAAAAATATACTTTGTTAATAAGAAATTTAAGTATTTAAATTTAATCATTCGAAGATACACATGTCAAATAATAACTCATATTTTGATCTAGTTAAATAATTTTTTTATAAGTCAATATAAGTCGAAATTATAAATCATCTTCACCATAATATACGTATTATAGTTATTTAATTACACTATTTTTTTAATAGTTTTGGGCATTAGTGTAAATCTTTAAGAAATTGATATTTATCGGTATAAATGAGGTTTTGGGACAATCATGTGAGCATTTGCAAACCAATTTTGCCAAAAAATTTTAAATATTATGAGTTATTTTATAAATATTTTTTAATAATTTTTGAAGCTCTCGATTTAAAAATATAAAAAAATTATATTAATTTTTTTCTAAAATTAAATAATTACATAATTATATTTATATAATATTATTATTTAAATCTAAATATCCTAATCTACTTTCTAAACTTTTTTTAATGTCTTTCTTCTTAAATTGGCTAACAAAGAATGAAGAGAGAGAAATTGAGAAGAAAAATAAGGAGAGAGAAAAGAAAATAAAGGATTTGGAGGTCGTAGAATAATTTTCGTTAGTTGACCCTATTGGGAGATATTCTCGTCTCATTTTAAGGAACTATTATTCTATTTTTTGTTTCAATAATTTAGTATTCTTAAAATTTTTTTGTTGAAATTTGTACTTTCGTTATCGAAAAATAAGAATAATTTTGTATTGGTAAAACTTTTATTGCGTAATTTTTTATATGCTATAGAGATTGAGATTTTAAACTTTTGAGTATTTAAATGTGATTTTTTTGTCAAGTGCTTTTTAAAAAAAATAGTGATTTACTAATTCAAAATTTAATTTTAACATCTAAAAAAGTATTTTAGTTCAATTAAAACTTCAGAATCTTGTTATAGACGATCTCTAATAATTTTGTTATCTTTTTAAAATGTAAATTTCTTTTAAGTAGGGTTTTCTGTTGCGTACAGTTAGGATATTTTGACACTTTTTGAATTAAGCTCATTATGCTTTTATTTATTGCAATGCATTCGAAATAAAAATGAGTATGTGATTGAGTAACAGCTGGTCGTTATTACTATTATAGTATTGTAATAATAATGTGTGTGAGAAAAAAAAAAGTAAAGACTTGTTATTCATTGACGTTAGTTAGAGACTGATTGACTTGTAATGATGGTGGGTCGATGGACTTTCTTTTAAATGTTGTGATTTGATATTATTCTCTATTGATTCGCGTGATACTGATTGAGGAGACGTTTATTGTACCTAAGATCAAATAGCGAAGACTATGTTTACTGAGCCAACAATTTATTGATATTAATACAATACTGAAAAAACACTGATTAAGCCATGACTTCTTACTTATTTAGTGTAACTACTAAAATGCAGGTTATTGAGACATTATTTATATTGTTGTATAAATTTATTATTACTGTACTGATTTATTGTTATTGTTATTGCCACTGGTTTTAATGATATTGATACGAATATTGATATTGTTATTGATTTACCAATACAAAAAGCTTGATATATATATATTAATCATGTGATATACTGAATATACTGAACATGTGATTTATATATTGAGTTAATACTAACTTAGAAAGAAATACTGAGCAAGTGATTTATACTGCTATTTTATACAATTTTACTGCATTGATATAATTTTTTTTATTTTCTTGGAATGACAGTAGTTTATTGGGCTACTGAGTTTCAAATTTTATTATTTCTTTATTGTGTTTTTTTAATGGTTTCTCAACTATACTGCTTTCACTACTTATGATTTCTATTATTACCTTATGATTACTGCATGTGGGCTTTAATGTTTTTGTACTAGTTCATGATCATATGATTGCTGCTACTGTGATTTGACTGGTGACATGCATATTGTTATTTTATTATTCATTGAGTTTAATTGTAGGATTAGATTAGTTGCTGGACTATCGAGCTCATCATATACGATTAAATGATTTAAGTCAGGGTAAGGAAGCAGGAGTGAGAGATTGATCAGGATTCTTCATGTTTAAGTTTTTTTTTTTTTTTTTTAATTTTAACTATTATTTGGCACTCATGACATAATAGTTATTATATGATTGTATAGATTTTGAATAATATATATGATTTTTCGGGAAATAATATAACATATATATTGATATTTTGATCAATAGTTTTATTTCAATTGGTATTTATATTGTTAAAAAAATTAGATAACTCTGATTATCATATATTAATAGTAAAATAATAATTCTTTCAAATTTGTTATTAAGACATTACAAGTCATGTATCTTATATATATATATATATATTAATCAAATAAATACATAATACTAAGTGAAGAAGATGTGTCTCATGTATGTCATGTCCTTAATTTGTGGGATTACATGGTCTCATTTACTGCCCATCTTCCTTCATCTTCTCTCAGTTCGCCCTTGCTCACATCTCGGCCAAGAATATATTTTAGTCTCAATAACAGGAGGGATTAGAAGGTCCTATCCGATATCCAGAGGGGTTTGGGTCACTTTCCTTTCCTTCCCTTGCCTCTCAGGAGATTCTTTCCTTCTAGCTTGGGATTTTGAGGTAAACATCAACGCCATAACCATATTCACGTATGTCTTTTCGTATATTCTAGTGTTTTATTGACTGCGGCAGTGTCGGCGATTTGGGCGGTTCTATCTTTGGTTCTTGATCCGTGGAAGCCACAGTAGTCGGCAAGTTTTGAGCTCCAGAAATCTCTTATCGCCTTTTTTCTTCCTTGTTTTTTGATGTATTTGTTTGTCGGTTATTTCTCCTCTTTTTTTTTTTGGTGGATCCTTATCTACTAGTTGGATGCTTAATTTTTTAATTCGTTTCACTTTCTTTGGTTTTTGTTTAATTATTCTCTTCTTTATTTACTGGGAGTTGAGGAGCTCTATAGTGGTTTAGTGAAATGGATGTCTTTTGATATATGGTTATTGAGATAATCTGCATGTGATGCGGCGTTATATCTGAGTTTTGTGTCTGTCTTCTAGGTGAAACTTGTTCCGTTGCGATTTACTGAATTAATGCATTTGGAATTGGTATGTCTACTGGCAATGCTAATATTGGTGAAATTGTTCGAATGCATGAATAATAACGATTGAATTAGAAGAAAATATCTGAAAGAGTGTTGGAATGCTGGGTAATTGTGAAATGTTTTGATAGGGAAGACTTTTATGGTGTACTTTTTAGTTTTGTATGACATTTGCATTGTTAGAGTATCTTTTTACTGGGTCCTTTAGTTTAATGCCCTGTTTGCAAAATGTTTATATTAGATGGACACTTGGAGTAGTATTTAATGAAAGATAAAGAAGTTAAAAATAGACTTATTTGATTCATGTATAACGAAGGATAAAAAATATGATTAGATGGATAAAATTAATGTCCAATGATTAAATTTAAAGCACTATATCTAAGGTAACAATAATAGGAATAGACTATGTTCATTATAATATGTGAAGAGTAGATTTAACAACTCTTGCAACATTGAGCAAGAACAAATAAAAATTAAGGTTTTGTAAGCCGTCCTCCAGTAGTTGGGAAATGCTAATGTATGAGTTGACAATATATTTATTTGTTGATGAGTAATATTTGAGTTTTGGTTCTAGGATGGGTTATTTTAACTCATTTAAGTGAATGATATTTTTTGGCGATTGGAAATTAGTGGAGGGTTATGATGGGGTAACTCTTAGGAAGTTTTCATATAGGAATTTCGTATTTTAAATCATTTTCATGACTAGTTTGTATTGTGTTACTTAAGGAAGACATTGATGAAATCTAAACAATGTTTCACCATAATACCATGCATATTAAGAAGTGTGCATTCTCTGCTTGAAGGATCATCGTTCTCTTTATTCTGATCAATGTAACTACTAACATATATAAGATGGGTCAAAGCTAGTAATTTCTTTTGTCATCAATCCCTTGTTGATTGCTATAATTTATTTTCTGCTTTTAGTTTTACAAGTTTCCATTGAAAATCTCAAAATCTTCTTCTTGGCGTGATCACATTTTTTTACTAAGGTTCATGAGCAATCATCTAAAATGAAGACATTGCATCATAAGTTTTATTGAATTTGCACCACTTATTTCATCTGTAATAACTGGTACTGTTATTTCTTATCTTTGCTTCTTAAGGAAGAATCATTAATAATGTACTTTTTTAGTTTATTTTCTTGTAGTTGACTTGTTTCTCGAATTTACCTGTCTTTTCATAGAATGCTATTTCCAATCTGATTTTTGGTTTAGTTTGCTGATTCTATATCACTCTAGCTCACCATTTTAGAAATTAATTGTGTGCCTGCTTGAGATTTCTGTGGTTGTATATCTCTGATGATTTTTGCAGGAAACCTATTATAATCTGATTTGCCGGCGTGCATGTTTAGCTGTTTACCGGATTTCCTATCTGGCATTTATTGAAAATAAATGGGCTGAATCTGGTATTTCATGGGAGGTCTGGATGAAACTGAACCACCTTTAAAACGTGTAAAAGGATCTTCAGTCGAATCGGAGAGCATTTCAAGCAAGTCATCTCTTCAAGGTCCCATTGATAATTTGGGAGGCCCAAGAACCAGGCCTCTACCATCCGCAGTGAAAGACATGGTTGGTTCTAAGGGTGTTATTAAAAAGGTAGAATTTATTAGGATTATCACAAAAGCCTTATATTCTCTTGGTTATGAGAAAAGTGGAAAAGTTCTTGAAGAGGAATCAGGAATAAACTTATATTCATCTACAGTAAGCCTTTTTAGGAAACAAGTGCTTGATGGTAATTGGGATGAAAGTGTTGCAACGCTTGAGAAGATTGGCTTAAGTGAACAAATCCTGAAATCTGCATCATTTTTGATATGGGAGTACAAATTCTTTAACCATCTGGAGAAGGATGAAGTCATGGATGCTTTGGGGACACTGAGGAATCAGATTGCTCCTCTCAAAATTAACATAAAACGTGTACATGAACTTTCTAGTTGTTTCGTTCAGTCCTCACGACATGGCTTACTCGGATTTGTCAATATGGAAATCGATTCTGAAAAATTAGGATTGAAGCTTCTAGAGGAATTGAATAAACTTCTTCCCCCGACTGTTATGATACCTGAGAACAGGCTAGAGAATTTGGTTGAACAGGCACTTTGTCTTCAAAGGGAAACTTGTTTTCTTCACAACTCTGTAGATAAGACACTTTCATTATATACCGATCATCAGTGTGGAGAAGATCAGATACCATTAAAAACACTCCAGGTTTGAATTTTGTATTATAGATATATTTTATTTGTCTTATCTACATTCAGATATGTTGTTTTTACTAATCTATAGAACATTTTACTTTTTCCCTTCGTACTATTATCCGTATTCTACTTATCTATTCTAGGTTTAAGCTGTTCAACTTAAATCTTTTGCTCACTGCTAGTGGTATTCATAATCATATCTTATTAGCTACTTTTTTATTATTTTGTGGTGCTTTAAATTTATTTTTAATCACTAAGGTGATCTTCAGTATTCTTTGTTGATGTTTAACAATAGTTTTGGTATGAGAAAAGAGCTATGACATTTCAAAACTTCATCCAAGTGTCTTTGTTGATGTTTAACAATGAATGAATGAATAATAAATTTTCTTCCATTGTGATTTCTTTGTGAGATCGTATAAGCATTTGAGAGAGAAATCCCTAGGAGAGGGAGATCGGATCACCCACCAATCTTGAAAACGGTTAGATTCGTGGTTCCTTATTCTTGTCTTCTCATTATGCCCCCCCTTCCTCACCTGACCCCTTTCCCCCCACATCAACACCCACAGTTTCCACCTCAAACCGCCGGCCCTAGCCCCTTAGCCACCGCCCCCATCCTCTCTCCCTTCTTTCTTGGGTTTCCTAATTTGGTTGGGATTAATTTGGAATCAATTTGAAATTCAAATAAATTAAATTTGAATTCAAATTCTTTCATAATATAACTATTCTATTTTAGGAAAGTTCTTAATTTAAATCAATTTGAATTTTAAATTCAAATTGGATTTAATTAAAACCTTTCCTAATTCCTGAATCCAAATTAAGAAGCCTTAATTCCTCCCACAATTAAGCCCCATAGCCGCCAGCCCCTATTGGAGAGAATTGGGGAGTTATTTCCTAAAGCTCCCTTTTCTCTTTTGGAAAGATTTCCAAATCTCCCATCTCCCCACTCCTCAGCCGAATTTTCCAAAGCCCACAATTCTTAATTTATTTCCAAAACCAAATGATTGATTTAAGAAATAAATCCCCATCCCTCATTGTGCCGCCGACCCCCTCTCTCTACCCGCCCCCTCTCTCTCTCCACTCCCTCTCTCTCTCTCATTAATTCCCCTCCCCAATTTAGGGGAGTTAATTCCTCCTCCTAATTTTCTCCTCTCTTAATTTCAAAACCGGAAATAAATTTCAGATTTTGAATTTAAATATCCCCTTCAACCTAATCCTAACTCCAAGTGCGGCTCCCCCGTTTTGGTCGAACCCTCTCCTCTCCTTAGCTCTTACTCTATGATGCACCAACACGGACACGGCGACACGAGCACGACACGACAAGGACACGGGACACGACAATTTTTAAAAATATAGGACACGGGTGCGGCGTGGACACGGCATAATATTTTTTTAATATAATATATAATAATCTTTAAAAACATAGGACACGGACACGGCGTGGACAGATAGCTT